AATCACAGCTAGACATCATTATCCAGAAGTCCCCTTAAGTCTCAAATCTCTTAAATCCAAAGCTGAACTTTTATTTGCACTTCCTTCTGCTTTCCTTTCAGTATCATCTTTTTCCATTATTGTACTATCATGCTTTTATTCTTCAAATACCTTAGTGTCCATTTAGTTAACAAAAATAAAAATGTGATCTACCCTATTACCAGGGCAGTCTTTCTAAGTTATAAACACTGCAATATCATTTTTCCTGTATTAAACAATACCCAAAGTGATTTTCTTTTATGTTTAGGAGGTAAGCCTCAGTTCTTAGCCATAAATTGACTTCTTTTTACTTCTCTGGTTTTTATCTCTTATTATAACTTGTGACAAATTCAAGGCAGAGATATTTACATTTGATACTCCTGCCACTGAGAGGTAAGATCTTTATCCTATCTACCCCTGTTTGAATTTGGGTGGGTTTATTGGAAGCTCACCTAATAGTCATCAGTATGATGTTCTAAGACTACCTTGTTGGAGTGGACATGTATAGTCTCCATTTCATTTAAGCTGCTGGGGTAGTGAGTGAAGAATGCATCTTAGAAATGGATTGTCCAGCCAGAGATGTTCTGCCTTCCAACAGTAAGACCACTGTCATTCCATCCTTTCTCAGGGGACCTTCTGGCATAGTGGAGCAATGACAGGCCTTCTCCTCTGGGCCCTAACTGATTCCTTGGCTTATAAAATCCAAGAAAAACAAATGGCTACTGTTTTGCTCAATAGATTACAGAGTCTTTTTTAACCTGCAATAGATACCCAGAACACACCTTTACTTAAACTTTCTCTTAGTTCAAATAGCTATAGCTTCATGAATGTGAAATGACATTTCCTTTGCTAGTGCCTTTGTATATTCTTTTTCATATGTCTTCAGTCACTTGGCAACTTGTACTCTGTTAGATTACTTAACACAATCTGTTGAATTATCTGTTTAAATGTCTAGTTTCTGTATAAGATTGTAGGTGATTTGAAAGGTAGAAACATCATCATATGCAACTGTACCTCTAGCATAAGCCTTAGCAGTCAGTGAGGTCTATTTTGAATTTATTTGTTGAAAAATCATTATTTGAACTTTTGAAAGTTCAAATTTGAAAAATTACAAGTAGAAAAGAGCCCTGGGGTCTCATGTAACATATTCAGGATCACAGCAACAATATAGTCTTTCATTAATCCATATGGTATGCATTGACTCCTTTCAACTAGACACTGGTTGATTCATCAAAACAAAAATACAGCACAAAATAGTAATTTTTAAAATGGATGTACCAAATATAAAAATGGATGAACAAACTACATTTTCACAGTAAAGTGGAACATAAATGAGATATTTAACATTGTATAGGTTTTTCTACATTAGATTACAGAAAATTATTTTATAATCATCTTTGTTTTCTTGTCAACAGAGTTTCCATTTTGAAGGATAAAAACATGTGGGAATAAAAAACCCTATTCAGAAGTCCTATCTAGTCAGATATTTCATACTCTTTATTTCCTAAGAAAGAGACTATCATACTTAATGTATTACATTTGTTCTCTGAACAGCACTAACCCCAAGGAAATAAAGGGGAATACAAAAATAGAAATCTATGACAATGAAGTAAGAAATTTCTTCAGTTTAGATTTTATGACATTTTTTATCTTCTAATTTTATTTTTCTGCTATAAAATGTTAAAAAGGTAGAAATTCCTTTCAAATTTACTGCAAATGTCTCGAGAGAAAAACTGAGAATAAATTACCCAAGATATTTAACATAATAAAATATGTTTTCTAAGTCTAACACTAAGGATTTTTAAACAAACATAGAAGATAGTAAAACATGTTCACTAAACATTTTTCAGATGGAAACAGATTGAAATATATTTCCTTGTCCTATAAGCCTTATGATTGCTGAGATTAGAAGTAAGCCATATATTCAGAATTAAGCTTTAAGTTTTTACTTACCAGCTCTTCCTTTTTCTTAAAAACTGATTTAAAATGATAACTACAAAACACAGAAAGTCTGTAGCCAGTTCTACAAATGTATCATTCATATTTCAAAACTATTTAAGTTCTTTCAAAAAATAGCTAAGATATTTTGCAAGTATATACACTTCAGAATGTGACAACATACTCTATCCTATACCTAAATGTTGCTGATAATTCACTGAAAAGTTATTCACTAATACATAATTGAGTAAGAAACTTAACTTTGTTCCACATGTGCTTCTTTTTAATAGCTGGGTGGCTGAAATATCATCCTAACTGTATTTGAGACAGGTTACTGTGATAACTTATCCTATTAGTGAAATATGGTATGAAAATACATTATTACTCCTGTCTCATCTTAAATTTCTACAGACAGTTCATAAGGTCACCTGCCTGGTCTACTTTTCTGAGGTCTCAAATTGTAACTAAAGAGGGAGATGCCTGTATAAGATATTTCAGCGTAAAAGTCCTGGGCACTTCAGGAATGTCAAACTTCAAGATAAAAGAAAACTCAGGAAACTAGGCTCAAGTTTCTCTCACAATGTCTTAATAAATTAGATTTTCCACAATGCTTTTACTTAAACATAGCTAAAAGCACTACACCGTTCTGTGGATCTTTATCCATTTATTCTTTTCAATGAACTGAGATTGCCATTACAAAAAGTTCATTTTAATACTACTATCTTCCAAAATTGAACCCTGAAAAAGTGGACAAAGTAATTTAGTTAATCTAAAATTTAAAATAACAGGCAAAAACCATCCAGATTAGTGAAAACCTGAATTATTTAATACATCAATCATTTAAAAATTTTTGTAGTCAGAATGAAATAAGGTAACAGTTTCCTAATATATATGTTTATGAAAATGACTTCAATTGTCACATTTATAAAACAATTATATAAATGCCTTATCTATAAAAGTATGTGAAGCTTTATGAGAAGTCTGTTTTACAGAGTCCTTATAATTGAGGAACTCTTGCTAAAAGCAAATATAATAATCAGTTGGTTCATATTATTAACAGGTAGCAGGGGTCTGAAAACCATCATGGCAAGTTTGGTCATGTCTACCTCTTAGTCTTCCAGAGAGAAAATGAAAGTGTTTAAAATATGTCAGAAAGGGATTGACCTCTTAGTCTCAAATGGTATAGGGCAGTGGGAATGTTGAGAAGTTGAAGTATATAGGGGAATATGGAGAGGCAAAGGCCAAAAATGTGCTTTGCAATGAAGTCTGGCCCTGGAGCAACAGCTAAAGTCTCATGGGCATGATGATTTCAGTTGCTGAAATGTCTAGTCCTTTAGATCCAATAGTAGGTTCACACTGTCAACCAAGATTAAAATTTGTTTTCAAATCTATATCTGACTACAGGAAAATACTTCAATAGTCATATTGACATGATTATTATAACTTTGGAGATAGTTTCATTTTCCATTATAAGGCAATAAGTTGAAAATTTGAGGTATAGTCTTTAGTAGAAAACAGACTAACATGTAATAGTTTCAATGGTACAAAATTTCAACTGAAATAGTCAATTCTATATTGTCAATGCTCTGAGTGTGCTTTGTAAATATAAAAATAAATTATCTAGAATTGAACCATGATTCTAGAAGTTGGGAGAAAATTTTCATTAAATGTATAAACAGAACATCAAAATGTCCTATGGTAAAATTTTAAATAAATGATGAATCAAAATGAGTTTTCCTGAGTTACAGCTGTAAGATCTCTCTCTCTCTCTCTTCCCCTTTCTCTCTCTCTCTTCAGTGATATATATACAATGTATAACTGAATTATATATAAAACTAAATTATAAAACACCGATACGTTATTGTTTTTATTTAGACATTTAAGTCCAAAGTACACCTCAACTTAAATTCCCTAAATTACAAGTCAGCCTAAAATTTGAAAATGTATTTGCATTCTCACAATTGCTTTGGAAAGATAGAGTATAATTGCGATATTTTCATTTTATACTCAGAAAACTGAGCTCAGTTAATTGATTTGGTTTGAAGGAAAAAATTTAGAACCATAGTCTCTGTGTCTTTTGAGAAACACACACATGTGTTATTCACAACTCCCTACTGTGTTGTCAGTATGTGCTGATGAAGAAATAATACAGGTGTAAGTTCATATAAGGGAAGGGAAAACACAACAGATGGACAAGAGAGTTCAATAGATTCTAGAGAATCAAAATAAAAGGGCAAATATTAATGTAGAGGAAGGGAAGCCTGGCCCTCTGTACATGTAGAAAGAGGATTCTGTAGAGAAAAGCAAGGAGAACAGTCAGACTAGGAAATTCCAGATGAGATGAAGTGGCTATAAAAAGCAGATTAAACAAATATCTGTCACTCCTATCATTAACATCTCATAGCCAGACATTTTTATAGGCAAAAACTAACAAAGCAAAACCAAAGTGAAGCCAACTAACAGTCTGAACAAACAAGGATCATTTTAAGCTCTAATAAATGTATAGTTTCAGAATGATCCCATGATTTACACAGATGCGGACATCCCTCAGTTTGATTGGACTAAACCCTCCAATGCATTCTAAAAAGAGCTCTGGCCCATATTCAAAGTTATCTGCTGTTTTCTACATAAAGTCAAATAAATTATCTGGACTTTCAGGAAGACCTTGAGAAAGAAAAATTGAGGTATGTCATGTTTCTGCATCCATCCTCATAACTTGTATGTTTATTATATACATACTCTTTTGCTTTTTGGCTTTTGGAATCAACCTATACTAACAACATGAGAGAATTACATGTGTATACAGAATGGAATATAATTTTATAAACAGTAAAAACAAAAAATTAAACTGTAGATGACACGGGATAGAAATGGTTAAATGGTGGACAGAAATTGGACAAACTGTTACACCATGTTTTACAAAACAGAATGCCAAGGTTGCCTAACGCTGCTACCTCCTTCTGCTGCTCCTGGAGCTGCTTATGTGCTCCTTTGGTGTGGACCTCTTTTGTGAAGTGGCAGCTGAGAAGACTCAGGTGCTCACTATGGCTGATGAAAAGCCCAAGGAAGGAATCAAGACTGAGAACAGCAATTATATTAATTTGAAGGTGGCGGGGCAGGATGGTTCTGTGGTGCAGTTTAAGATTAAGAGGCATACACCACTTAGTAAACTAATGAATGCCTATTGTGAACGACAGGGTTTGTCAGTGAGGCAGATCAGATTCTGATTTGATGGACAGCCAATCAATGAAACAGACACACCTGCACAGATGGAAATGGAGGCCAAAGATACAATTGATGTGTTCCAGCAGCAGACAGGAGGTATCTACTAAAAAGGGAACCTGCCACAACTCTACTCCAGAACTCTTTTCTTACAGACCAAGAATACATTCTCAATTAGAAAACTGCAATTTGCTTCCACCACATCCTGACTACTACAGTACAGTTTTCTCTATTCTTTCATTTACCCCTTCCTCATTCTTTTATTGTACATAAAGTATCTGGTGTAGATGCAGAAGTACATTGCATTTTTTATTAACTAAATGGCCAACAATATGTTTTGATTGACATCAGATGGAGGTGGGATGGGGAGATACTGGTTCTGCGAAAATAATTCCCTTTCTCCATTAGAGGCATGCTCATCAGCTCTTATCTTTATATTTCAGTAAGTTATTTTGCTCTCACTGTTTTAAGAGAAAAGACAACAACAGAAAAGACAGCAACATAAAAATCCTTGCATACCTTGTTTGATTGGAGAATTTTAATGTTTTTCATTTATCTTTGCAAAACCAAGGACAATTTTATAACTTTTCTGTATGTAGCTGTTACATGTAGGGCAATCTGTCTTTATGTAGGAGTAAATTACTCTTTAAAAGAAAAAGAATCCTAGATAGTTTTCCCTTTAAGTCAAGTGTCTCGTTTAAATAAACTTCTTATTTAAAATGAAAAAAATACCAAATTGTCAAAATAAATAAAATAAAATGAAAAAAACCAACAGAATGCCAAAAGATATTCTACAGTTGATTGAAAACCAAATACATGTTATTTTATTATATAAATATACAGTTAATCAATGAACTAAGAGAGCAAATGTAACTCTCTTAATGGCATTGTTAGAAAGACTTGTGCATACTTACTTTTTGGTTTAACCGATAAATAAAAATTACATGTTAATCTATATCTAGTCCCTCCCTTCCATTTTATATTGAACAGATAACAATGAATGTACCACAGGAACCATTCCACTGAAATATTTCTCATCAAAGACTCTAGTACAAAATCGAAGGGCCATTTTTCATCATTCATCCTACTTATTTGGAACATGTGATGTAGTTTAGATCTTCTAAATAATGGTTACAAATACAGTACAAGCTCTGTAGAATTCCTGGGTTAAACTTACAGCTTACTCTTTGGGAAACTTTATGCACCTTAACTGAACTTTCTATCTGAAGTTCCCTTATCTGAAAACTAAGATTAGTACCTGTGTTACAGGGAAGCTGTGAGGATAGCAAGAGGAAATATGGCTATGTAAACTAAATAGAATGGTGGCTACAATATAGCAATGGTACATATAAAAGCTTGCTGTTGATCTTTCCCTCCTCTTTGAAACATTTCCTTAAGGCACTTTCCAAAAAAAAATCACACTCTGATTTTCCTTCTACTTTACAATCTGCCTCTTTTTAATTTACACTACCAGGTCTTGCTAGATTCCTAACATCTAAACATTGGTTGGCTCCCGACCCACAGTTTTAGTTCTCTTTTCTTCATCTGTATACAGATTTTGGTAAATTTATTCTGTGTAATCTCATAACATTCTACACAATTTACATGTTATGTCTCCAGGATTTGAATAAACTCTATCTTTCCCTTAAAAACAAGTCTTGCTATTCTAGTGCCTTCTTTAATATTTCCACTTACATTTATTTCATAGAAATTTCAAATTTGATATGTTCATAAGTGAATATCTTACCTTATCTCTACCAAATCCGTCCCTCCAATATTTTTTCCTTTTCATTAAAATAGAAATCATTTCCCATGGCTAATGTTTACAGTATTAATATCCTTTCTGTTTGCAAATTCGCTACAAATATTTCAGCTTATTTACTGACACTGCCTTCTAAACATATTTATTTGGAATTTAACTTCCTCTCTCCATTTTTACCATGACAGTCCAAACTTTTCTCCATAATTGTTTGCTATCACCTTCCCTCCTATATTCTATTCTCAGTACAACCGCCCTTTATATATCTGTATGACTCTTTTCTCAGGGCCACAGTAGTGTTCCATCTTCCCAAGAGCAGAAGCCCAAGTCCTGACCATGGTGATACAGCCATGTTTCTTTGCTCTTTCTCTGAATTGTATCCTATTCTTCTTTGCCTTGTTTCTTTTGATTTAACACAACTGGGATATTTATCTTCTTTAAAAAAAAGGCAGGATGCTAAATCAAGATCTGAGTACTTGTCTTCTTTCAACTTGAAACCCTATCCCCAAGACAACCCAGGAGCAAGATTTCTGATTAACTTCTTGGTAAATGTCATCAGTTCATGAGGACTTCTCTTAGGACTTCATACTTAAATTTGCAAAACTATGGCTTCTATGCATTTGATTTTCCTATCATTTATTTTTCTTTCATTAGCCATCAAATTATTGTAACACATTTTAGTTAACTTTCTACTGCATATCTCCCATTACTAGAATGAGAATTTTAAGAGAGCAAAAATTTTTAAATCTTTTATCAACTGTTATATCACCAGTGCCCCTATAAATATGTGGAATATATTATGCTTAATAAATACTTTTGAAATAAATTAATAGAAGAGATGGGGAATTGTGAATCAAAAGATAATGATCAAATGAATATATGAATAAAAATCAGTGGTAGAATTTATGGTATTTGGGGATCACAATTGAAGTTAATACCTAAAACAATTAAAAAGGCTACCTGTGTATAGACTGGACATGGAAAAGCCTGAGTATCAGTAGATTAATTCTATTTTTTTATTTTATTCAAAAATAAAATTTCATAATGAAATAATAACAATAGTTAATACAGTGTGTATCATTATCCTCAAAGCAGTTACTCAGAGTACAAGACATACACCAAAAAGTTTCTTACAAAGAAGAAACAGATAATAACACAAAACCTCTTTAACAAAGATAGTCATATAAATGAAATAAGTTAGCATATATATTAAAATATTTTTGAAACAATGGAATGGGAATTTGAGGAAATATTTGAACTTTTTCCTACTTCCTGTTTATATGTAACTCTCCTCTCTCTCTCTCTCTCTCTCTCTCTCCTCATCATATAAGAGAAACCACGATATTTAAGCTTGTATGTGTGTCTGACTTATTTCACCTATCATGGGAATTTTATTACTTAGAATTATTTTTAGATATTTGATAAGATTTAGAAGTGGAGTGGACAGACATAATTAGAGAATGCGACAAAAATGGAGACAGTGATGAGGGTGACTATGTTTCTAGTGTGTCAGTATGTTTTATTGTACATGTGATATTTCTTAAAATGGGAAAAAAGGATTAAATTACTAAGTGTTTATTAAATACTAAGAAGTCATTTAATAAATAAATCTATTATTTATGTCTCTTCAAAACTCTTATGATGAAGTTATCACAATTCTACTATAAATGGTAAGAACAGGTTAAAATCACTTGTCCAAGGCCACTCCACTGGAACTGGAAGGCAAGGTTCAAATCCCATTTGTCTGATTCTTCATAATCAAGCTGTATGGATGTGTCCTGACAACAACAGAGGTACTGGTCATTGTCAAGCTTTGTAAATAATGAAATAAAAGCAAAGAACACAAGTGTCTGCATATACACTTTAGTGTTTTCATATACACTTATGAACACACACGTAATACCTTCTTTTTGGTTTTCACATTCCTTCAAAGAAAACTTTCTATTCAACTTTATCTCTCTAAAAATGAAAAAAAAAAGCATTGCCTTAGTTTTCTGAAGATTTATAGATTCATGAATGTCCCTCTTCCTTTTTGGGAATTTTGTTTAATGTTCAATTGATTCACTGACTTTGAAAAGAACACACTACAGGCCACAACACAGAACTGAGTCAAGCAACTAATTAAAGCCAGGTTCATGAGGGCTTAAATTACCAGAGCTTTCCTGTCATCCTAAATTAAATTTCCTTATGTACTTCTCAAGATTTATAACCTCAGGCTGAAAAGCTGTAAACCGTCGAGATTTTGGAGTGAATCTCCCAGAAGGAAATAATGTTTCCTGGAAAAGAAACCCTGGAAGGCAAATGTCCTCCATGGGAAGAGGGCTCCCAGAGCATTGTGTGTGGTAAGGTTCAGAGGGACGAAAGGAAACCAGTCACTCAGAAAACATGTCACTTGGAAGTCCTATAGGAAGAAGTGCATGCTACTCAAAAAAAAAAAAGACACTTTTTATTTATTATTAAAAAAATGAAAAGCAGAAGGGCAAGTGATCATCTACAGAGAAAATAATATCCTAAATTCCCCCAAATACCTGTTTTTCAATTGGGAAAGACCTATCATGATTACTGCTCTTGTCACTCTCAGCCATCTGTGCAATTTCTTACCTCTATTTTCATACTCATTTTTTCCTTTTTACATATTTTAATTTTCTAAACATAAACTATTTATTCATGGGCTTTAATAGTTGTTATTGGTAAAAATAGCAACTAATTGAAAAGAAGATGCAATTATTCAATAATGTGTTCAAAAAATAAGCTAAAAAATCATTTTAAGTACCACCACCCTCCATTTTTTTTAGCTTTTAGCAAAGATAATATTTTTCAAATACTATCATTCTTATACCTCAGTGTACCAGGAAATATAAAAACTAAATTTTTATTTTGTAATTTTGTTCACTAGAATGTCTTACTGGATATTTTCAGGGAAAAAATGCATGCATTTACTGGGCATTGTTGTTTGGTTTCATGGGTCAGGCACTGAACAATTTTAGTGAAATTTAACTTTCTCTTTCTTTTCCTTTCAATTAGAACTGTAATTGTCAAAATGCAACATATGAAAAAGTGTGATTAACAGAAATGTCCTAAGTGCCCATGATGTATTTATGGATGGAAATAAATTTTCTGAATTTAAAAGATTTGATTCAATTTACTTTATTTTCTAGAATAAGTAAAATTTTTTCCATCTCCCAGTCAATACCAATAAAAGATAACTATGACACCAATTCTTATAAAAAGTTTTGTACTTTTCATTAAAGCATATCTCATCTTTCCTTTCTTGGTTGGAGACAGGGCCTTTAATCTGTTGTTTTCATAATAAAAAGAAAAGCCAGAAATATAAAAGGAATTTGCTTTATT